GCCCCTGGCCATCGCGGCCGCGGCGCCACCTGGGAGTGGGGACACGGGGCTGAGCAGCCTTTTCTTTTACGGCGCCGGGACCATGCAGTCCTTTACTCCTTGGTGCCAGGCGCTGGGCTCGGGCTCGGGGACATGGTGAGAAACAGGCGCAGCCCCTGCGCGGCCCCAGGGAAGGTAAGATGTAAAGAGCCATTTATTTGACAGTTACTTCAGGCCGGGCCGGGACGTAGGCCCGCGGAGAGCGGCACATCAGTTAACAAAACAGACCGAGAGCCCAGCCAGTGTGGCTCAGTGGTGGAGCGTGGACCCCGGAACCGGTCTGATTCCCGGTCAGGGCACATGCCCGGGTTGCGGGCTTGATCCCCAGTAGGGGGCGTGCAGGAGGCAGCCGATCAATGATGTTTCTCTCTCATCGATGTTTCTATCTCTCTCTCTCCCTTCCTCTCTCTGAAATCAATAAAGATATATTTTTTAAAAAAATCAATAAAAACATATTAAAAACAAAACAGGTCAGGCGCCCTGCCCTTATGGAGTTGATAATGGGGCAGAGAGGTGACAGACTAATATAATAATATAATATAATATAAAATATAATATATTATACAAATTATAATATAATATAATACATTAAAATTATATATCATATAATTATAATTGTAAATAAATTAATATATAACATATAATAATATAATAACATAAATTGCAATGTAAATAGGTGACCAGTGCGGTGGGAACAGAAGTCACACAGGGTAGAAGGATGGGGGTTCAGGGTAGGAGGGCTGCAGTTTTAAAAAGGAAGGCATCACTGAGATGACAGTTAAGCAAAGACCTGGTAAAGGTGGGAGAGGGGCACTTGGGTATCTGGAGATTAGCATTCCTGACAGATGGAACAGCAGGTGTAAAGGCCCTGAGGCTGGCACAGAGTGAGCAGTAGGGATTGCCACAGAATTAACCTCTGCATTCTACAGTTTGTCTGACACGGGAGCCCTCTCTCCTCACCCTCAGCCAGTCATCAAGGCCCTGGCTCTCCCCTCCCTGTCGGGGAACCCACTTCTGTCTATCTGCCACACCCCTCCTCACTGGTGCTCCNCCAGTCATCAAGGCCCTGGCTCTCCCCTCCCTGACGGGGAACCCACTTCTGTCTATCTGCCACACCCCTCCTCACTGGTGCTCCAGCCCTCCGCAGTTGTCCTGGGCCCTGACTAATTCCCCTGGATCCCTTCCTGTCCTCTGACTGTCAGAGGGTTATATACTTTGCACTCACTTCTTTGACCTTCAGCTCTAGACTCTCAGCCTCCGTTTAGTTGACTGGGACTTTCTTGCCTTCCTCAGAGCAGATGTGTCTCGCCTACCATCCTCCCTGCTCCTTGGAGACCAAGCCCTAGGGTGCTAGCAGCATCCCTAGCTCAGGCTCACCTCTTGCAGGAAGCCCTCCCAGCTCACCTCAGCCCACCACTGCTTGCTCATGTTGACCTCTTTAGAAAACATGCCATCAGGGTTTTAACGAAATCAGTTTTTTAGTGTCTAAATTTGTTGTTTTTTTATCATTTTGCTACCTAAAATAGTTGAGAGTTAAGAAGGTGTCAAATGGTTTATGGAAGAACCTGACAATTGAAATGACTGGTCCGGTCACCTTGGAACAAGTAACTGGGCTCCTGTGAGCTTCAGCTTCCTCAGGGGGATGAAGAAGATAGGGTACCTACCTCGAGGGGTGGCCTGGGAGCTGAGGAATCTTAGAAAATGCACTTGGCACGGGGCTGACCCTCACAAGACTCCTTCCGTCCTCAGTCTCCCAGAAGACCCTCACATGCTCCTTCCAAGGCTGCATTCAAGGGTGGCCCAGCCCTTCCCATTGTGACTCAAAGAGCTTCCCCAGACAGCATTGTCACAATGGTCCCCCAGCAACTCTGGGGGCAGCTGGGAGAAAAGTTGGGAGCAAGGCCAGAGGACCCTGCCTCCTGGGACCTCAGGGAGCCTGCCACCTGACTTGACTTCTTGAAGTCTCAGTTTTGTCATCTGGAAAATGGGGCTGGGAATGGAGACTATGGAAAGCAGCAGTGAGGATTTGATACAATAGGCTGCTGGTGTCTCATTACCATTTTCCCAAGTCTTCCTCCTCACCTGCTTCCTAAGTCTCCCCACGCAAGATGGGAAACCTCTCTGAGTCACTGCGCTGCTTACTGTCAGCCCAGGGCTCAAGACCTCCAAGGTGCCCTTAAAAATGCCAGTTCCCACCCCTTCCAGCCCCAAGACCATGAGGAACACACCCGTGGATGAACACATACAGGCTTATTACTCATTGCAGCCAGGAAGAGCACACTCCATGGGGAATTGTGGGCACCCCAGGAGGGTGTAAAGGGACTCACCAGATTTGGGGAGGTTTAAGGAAGTGGGGCTTTGCTCCGCACTGGAGGCTTTTACTGTTTGGAAATGTGACTTTCTTTTTTGAGATGATTTGACAAATAAAAATAATGTACACAGCCTGGCCCCGTGTGGCTCAGAGGTTGAGCATTGACCTGGGATCCAGGAGATCGGGGTTCGATTCCGAGTCAGGGCACATGCCCGGGTTGCAGGCTCGATCCCCAGTCGGGGCATGCAGGAGGCAGCCGATCAATGACTCTCATCATTGATGTTTCCCTCTCTCTCTCTCTCTCTCTCTCTCTCTCTCTTCCTCTCTCTGAAATCAACAAAGATCTTTTTCTTTTTTTTTTTAAATAAGGAAAGAAGACAAACATGAAATGAAGATATAAATCTATTCAACCTGTTTCAGTTCATGATACCCCCCAATCACCTACTGAATGGGTTCTTTTTTTTTTTAAATTGAGATATAATTGACATACAACATTATGGAAGTATAAGGTTTACAACCTAGTGATCTGATACATTTATAGTGCATTATGATTGCCACTGCAGCTAACACCTCTATGGTGTCATGTAATTATAATTTCTTCTAGTTTGGGAACAAGATCTAGTCTCTGAACAAATTTGTTTATGATACAGTTTTGCTGCCTGTAACCCCTGTACTGAGCATTAGGTCTCCAGGACTGACTTACCAAGTGGGTCCCTTTTCACTAAATTTAAGTAAATTGTTGGTTTGTCCATCGAGTTAAGGTCCCATCGCCTGCTCCCCAGCACTGAGCCCCACCCAAAGGGCTTTGGCTCAGCCAGGCTGATACAAATATACAGTTCAGCCTAGTCCCGCTGCCTGCTGGGAGAAGTAGGACCCATGAGTTGGATCCTGGGTGCTGCAGGAAGCAAGGGGGCGAAGTAACTATAACTGAGGATCTTAATTTTTATCCAGCAGTCTGGGGAATGAAACACGAATAAAGCTGTGACAGTAAAGGAGCAGCAGTGCCTCAGATTAGCCGTGAGAAACAAATGTCTGTCTCTCTGGTCGCTGCTGGTGTTGGACAATGCTCTCTTTTTGCCTGTGCTCAGGCATGGTCATGAGTGGGCTTATTTTTTGTTGTTCCACCATGGTCACTGAGTGGCCTTGTCCGATGACAGCATTCTGAGAAATTATTTGTGTCCGACAGGAGCTGGAGAACACCAGCTGTGACTGCCAGGCCAGCTCTTAGCAACATCAGGGTCAGCTGGGAACACCAGGCCAGCTCCTGTCTTTCTCAAAGGTCAAGCTCAGCCCTAACCCCATGGTGGAGGATGCTGGGAGGGCTGGGCGGTGTCTGTGAGGTTCACTGCTGTACCCTTGGTGCCTAGAGCAGGGCCTGGCACACGGTGGGCTGCTACAAGGTGGTTGGGGCTGTTACAGTTGCTCATACAGGCTCTGCAGCTTGAGGTCCTGTCCTGTTCCCTCTGCAGACCTAGAGCTCGGCTTAGATGTTTTTCTGGGAAGGAACAGGGTCCCCGGTTGGGGTGTGGGGGGCACACAAACCCCTGCATCCTAGTCTTAACCAAGGAGGGCTGCAGTTGGCTGTGGGGATTAAAGAATCTCTCGGGATGTGGGGAAAGCAGGCCTGGGGGCAGCAGGGGCTTGGGATCCAGGTGAGAGAATGGGGGTTCCTTATGGAGGGGGCTGTGGGCTGGGAAGAGTTGGGTGGATTCAAGGGATATTTTGGTGACTGTTGGGACATGGGCGGAGTGTGCGAGGAGGGAAAGAGTAAGCATGATGTCCAGGTCTTCTGTGGCTGGGTGGCTGTGGGGCATCCCTGGAATGGGGACAAGGGAGATCAAGATGTTGGGGAGGGTGCTGTGGTCAGTCTGGGACTTGCTGCATGTGAGGGGACTTGGGGGATGCACAGGGGAAACGTCCAGGTGGCAGGTGGGAGCAGGAGACAGGTCAGGATTGGCAAGAGATGGGGGAGAGGCCAGTGAAGAGGTGGCTAGGCAAGTCGTGGGAGTGGACAAGGTCCCCCAGGACGGTATGGACACAGCATGAACAGAGTTTGGAAAGGCAGCTGAGCCCTGTAGGCAATGACACTTACTAAGAACTAGTTTTGTGCCAGGCTATGGGGATATAGCTACGACCAAGACAGAAAAATCCCTGCCCTGGTGTAGTTCACATTCTGTTGAAGAGGGACAATAACTAGACAACTAGATAAAGCAACAAAATATACAGTCGCACTTGATAGTGTTACTGTAAGGAGGAAAAATGAGACAGCAGGAAATGTGGGTGGGAAGTGCCGCAGTGTGAGGGGAGGACCCTGGAGAAGATGATTCTGAACAGACAGGAGGGGGAGGGGAGGGAGGGAGCCCAGTGGGTATCTGGAGGGAGAGCCTTCCAGGCAGAGCGAACAGAAGTGCAAAGGCCCTCAGGCAGGATGTGCTGCAACTTCAAGGAATGGCAACGGGGCAAGTGGTCGGGAAGGAGCGAGCGAAGCAGAGAGAGTAATAGGAGTTGAAATCAAGAGGAAATATTTTGCAAAAGGCAATCAGTCATTAGGAAAAGGCAGAAGATTACGGGGAGATAATGCGTCACATCCTGTAGGATGACTATAATAATAATTTTTAAAAAACAAAATAAATGTTTTGGCAAGAATGTGGAGAATTCTGTGCATCATTAGTGGGAATGTAAAATGGTACAGCCACTGTGGAAAGCAATCTTTTTACTTTTCCTCAAAAAGTCAAACGGGGTTACCATATGATCTAGCAATTCCACCCGAAGTACTGAAAGCAGGGACTTGAACAAGTACATGCACACCCATGTTCACAACAGCGTGATTCACAGCAGCCAAAAAGTGGAAACAACCTCAGGGTCCTTCAGCTAATGAGCAGGTAAATGAAATGTGGTCCATCCACATGATGGAATATTCAGCCACAAAAGGCATGAAGTCCTGATACAGGCTCCACTGTGGATGAACCTCGAACACATTATGCTCAATGAAGGAAGCCGGACACAAATGGCCACATGTTGTATGATTCCATTTATATGAACTGCCCGGGACAGGCAAATCCAGGGGCTGGGGGAGGGGGGAATAAGTGACTGAGTGACAGTGTCTCCTTTCAGGGTGATGAAATGTTTTGAAATTAGAAAGAAGCGATGTTTGTACCACGCATGAATGTACTAAATGCCCCTGAATTGTACATTTTAAAATAGAGTCTTTTATCACAATTAAAACAAAAAAGTAAACAGGTCATGTTAATTTTTTGAAAAAAACTTATTTGCCTTGTTGACGAGACAACACCCGCATATTGCACACACTCGAAAGCTACTAAGCGGTGCCAAAGCGAAAACTTGGTCTCTCCCAGCCGCCAGTCGCCCCCCCGGAGGGGCTCGCGTTCCCGAGTCTTGTCTGCTCCTCCAGAACGAGGCTGCGCGCTTCCTCGACGTCCCGAAAATGCCTCGTCTGTGACCGCAGCCGCGCGCGCTCGCTGGACACTCGCGGAAAGTGCAGAAAGGGCGCGACAAAAAATAACAGAGGAACCTCTCTCCTTGAACCCGAGCTCCCGGGTTGGTTGGTGATTCTGCTCGGGTAACTTTTTCGTGTGAGCTGGGGGCGGGCTGCATTTGAGGGTCGGTTCACTGAGAAGCGAAGCCGCCGTGGGGCCGTCACGTGCGGGCAG